TGATCGTTCCTAGTAAAGTGGTCAAAGACAATCTAATTAAACAAGTCTAATGAACATAAAAACGGAAAAGAAACAGAAAAAAGATCAAATCTTATAAAAAAGAAAGGCAATCAGCGAAAAAATTGGGTCTTATCGATTGCGGGGAGGCGGGATGAGTACTGTAATTGCAGTGACATTTGCCGCATGGCACAAGGGAGAATGCTGCAATGGGAGAGCATTCCGTTACCCAATTTCCCATTTTCTTTTTCTGGATTTTCCATTTGAGAAACTTTTGCTTCAATCTCTTCTCTGAAGACGGCTGCTGCCAAGCGTCCGAGCAGCAACCCATATCTTGTGGAAGATGTGTCTGTTTACACCACCAGATTTTTGGCAAGAAGTTATATATAATTATGAAAATTATAAAAATTGATAATTATGTAAGAATAGATATGAGCGTTAATGATTTTCTCAATCTTTTTTTTATTTGATTGAACAATTAGTAATCAGAGATTCGTAAGTGACCGTGGTCATAAGTGATAAGTGCTTTTACTTACATACGTAGTTATGATGGTAGAACTCCATAAAACCTCTGAGAACACTTGTTAAAAAGTATTCTCGTCGCACATAAGGTCAACAGCTCAAGGATCAAAAGTTTGCTCGTTCGCTTGGAGAGAACGATGCCAAAATAATACTAATTACATTTTTGTCACAACCTTCTCATTAAATTGACGAAACCGGAAAAGTCTGAGGAAATTGAAAAACCCTGGAATTCAAAGCAAAGTTTCAGACCCTTCTGTTGACGTAGCTTTTGACTGACTGGAAACGGTCTTGTAGTAATGTGAAGGTACATATTCCTCTTTGTCAGCTTAGACACCAACTACTTCTGAGCTGATGCTACTTCTATAAAAGGTTTTTCAAAAAAATGTCAATTAGGGTGGTTTTTAGTGAGCATCTCAGGAAGAAAAAAATGTGCTCAAAGCCTGAAGTAAATGTTTCCACTGCTTTCACTTGAGAACTACATTGGGCATGTAGGGTCCTAACCAACGCCTACCGTTTGACCGCCATTTCTTATCATATTAGGAGACTATTCACTTCGAGCTTATTCTATCAGACGGTGACAAGCTTGTCCTCTTATATTGCCGAGAAATGTAACATATGTACAACACCGCAGAATCGCCCACAGGTTCCTCGGCACTATACTTCAGTGCACGGGAGAATTGGAAGTCTATGGGTGAAATGGCCCTCGGACGAAAGATGGCCTTCCATGGCTCTCATACTTTCGTAGTCTTGATTTATAATGGAAAGAGAAATTCAATTCGTTTCGTCATGTGCATGTAAATCTGCCTATTGTCTGTTTATGCGCTATTGATGGAGAAAGATTGTGTACAAGTGGTAAATATATCAGCGATTCAAGTCATTTTCTTCAAGTGTTGACAAACTCGGCAATAATGTTCGATCAGTCTAGAAAATTCTTGAACACTTCTGTCTAAGAACTTCTTCGCGTGGTCCTTTCTCTCCCACGTGGTCATTTATCCTTTATTCTCACGCATCTCTGAGCACTTTCTTATCCTTACCATGCTTTTTCAATCCTTATTCTCTTCTCTTCTACAACGACCTCATTAGTTTGCTTAAGTGAATCCCATAAATCGACATTTTCTTCGACAACTGAGCAATTTATTCACTTTCCCAAGATAATCCTGCTACGATCGAGCTAATCTCGCACGAAGACTCAGTCAGTGTCTGTCACTGGGCGCCGTGGCGGGCGCTTGTGAGCCAGCCTCTAGGCAGTAGATTGGTGTGGATGGAGTGAGGGGAGGAGTCCCGTGGCGGTCGTGGTGTACGACGACCGGGCGTCCGCGCCAAGCGTTG